ATATATTATAATACAATTTTTTTTATATATAATATTTAAATATAATAATTACACAATATAAATAATATTGTAATAATAATGAAAAAAATATATAACACTATTACAATATAATATTTTATTATATTAATAACATAAATTTAATGCAATATTATAATAAAAACAGAAGTATATATATATAAGATTTTTTAATATATTAATTAAATAAATTTAATAATATTATATATATAAAATATATTTTACCATGTGTATAATAATATAATATTTTATTATATCAATAACATAATATTAATAATATTATAATGAAATATAAAATTTATTACAGTATTACAGTATAAAATTTTAATACAATAATTAAATAATATATATATATATATATATATATATATATATATAATATTATAATAAAAATAACAAATATTTTGCACTATTACATTATAATATTTTAATATATATTGAATTACATAATACCAATAATATTATAAATAAATATCAAATTTATTATACAGAATTACACACAATATAATGTTTTTATATATAAATTACATAATATTACTAATACTATAATTATCTATAAAATATAGTATTACAATAAATATATATATATATATATATATCTATATATACTATATTTATAAATATTATATATTCACCCATATAAATAAAATAGCCAACACAAAATAAAAAAAAATAAAAGGAGAAAGATTGAAACTAACCTAAGTGAACCAGAGAGAGAGAGAGAGAGAGAGAGAGAGAGAGAGAGAAACCGAGAGAGAAAGAGAGAGAGAGACAGAGATGAACAGGGGTAGGTTGGTAAGAGGTAAAAGGGGGTTGCGTACACGTGATCGAAAAACGTGTTTCTTGGTACACGTGTACCCATTCGCGAACCTCTCTCCTCCCACCAATCATGTCCACCCCTTTTGCCCTGTTTAACCACCTCCCCTTTCTTCCTACCCTCCTACGGTTGTCTAGATATACATACATACATACATATCTATCTATATATATATATATATACACACACCCCCTCGTTTACCTAGCTTTCAACCCTCTTCGTCTACGTTTTTCACCCGGAGGAGAGAGCAACTTTGCTCTGATTCCTCTCAGTCAGTCATCGACGAGCCTCTTTGGGCTATGCGTGCGCGATTTCATTCTCCGTTCGATATACGCAACGTTCTCTCTCACTCTTTCTCTTTTTATCTATTTATCTCTTTATCTCTCTCTCTCTCTCTCTCTTTCATTATCTCTCACACACTCACACTCAAATTCACATTTACTGGAATATCTTTCCTACTTGTTGTTAAGTTCTATTTTTCTTCTAACCCATTTTTGTTCCCCATTCTTAATTTGACGATTTGATTATTCCATTCTATTGTTTTTGTTGTTTCTTACCACCCTCTTTTACCACCCTCCCCACCTAAACACTCACCCCACTATCTACTCCCACTTATCTCACCTACACGTTCTCCCACAATCCCACCACCACCAATAATAGTTGATCATCATTCTTATGTATTTACACTCTTTTACATATTGTCATTGAATTTTTTTTTTTTAAATATTATTTTTTTTCATTTGTTTTTCTGTCTCTCTCTCTCTCTCACTCTCTCTCTTCCTCTCTGTCTCTCTTTTTTGATTTGTTGGGTTTTTTTCTTCTTTTCCTATATCCGTCTTTGTCTGATCTGATTGACGTTAATTATTTGAAGATTAGTTTGTTTTGAAATACAAACATACGAAAGTGAATTTTAAATATTGTTTTATTTTTTATTATTTTGTTTGTTTGTTTGTTCTCCTGTGATTTCGATTTTTTTTTTTTTTTAATTAATATTCAAAGACACACATAAATCAGTTTTTTTTTTATAAATGTGGTGTGGAAAATGTGTAGATATGATTATACAGTCTTTTTTTCTTTTTTATAGTGAGAATAGAGATTATTTTTTTTCTTATTTTATTTCTTTTTTTTTTGAATTAAATTAAATTAAAGTATACTCACGTTCATATTATTTATTTATTTTTATTATTGTTTTGCTGAATGAGTTGTAATACGTTGAGTTTTTTTGTGAATTGAATATATTATCTTGTTTTATATACATATATACACACATATACATATTTATATATATATACTGTGTACGAGATTTAGATTAATGTCTAGTTTTGTTTAAAATTAGTGACGAAATAATCAGAAAATCGTTCGCGTTTTTTTTCTTGTATAGAAATATTATATTTCTATTTTGTAGGGAATTTTGTATTTGTGAGAAAAAATAAAAATATCTCTCGTATTTATTGAGTGTTCCAATCTTTTTTGTGCAAATAAGTATATTGAAAAAAAATAAACAAATTTCATTAAAAAAAAATTGTTATGTCCTAAAACAAAATTTCACTAGTTGCAATAAAAATTAAAAAAAAAAAAAAAACAAACCAAAAACCGAAGTATAAAAACAAATAATTATTTTGCACACGATAAAAAAAAAACTCCAACAGAAAGTAAAAAACAAAAACAAAAAAATGCTTAAAAACTTCTCGATTAAAAATATAATTGTTATTAAATAATTCTTTAATTATTATTATATTATGATAAATATTTGATTAGTTTATTCTTTGTTTTGGTTAAAAAAAAAAAAAACAAAAACAAAAAAAAATTCGTAACACAAACGGAGAAAATTTGTTTTATTTTATTTTTTTTTTTTTATGCAAATAATTCTCGACTTTTGGAGCATTTCAGTGTGCAAATAGGTATATACATATATATATGTATATTTTATTTTTTTTGTTCATAAAAAAAAAAAATAAGTAAGAATAAAAAAGAAAAAAGGCAAAACCTATCCCATTTTTAAACGATCGATTTTTCGATCGATCGTCTTCCCCTCTTAATTATTTTATTAATTAATCACAAAATAAAAAAATAAAAAAAAAATAAAAATAAGTAAGCGAAATAATCGAAATAACAAAAGTCGGATTTATTCAGGAAAAATGTGAAAAGTGTTGCAATATAATTACCTGTTGAGTGTATGATAATAACACAGTGAACGACGATCAGTGTTAAGAAAGAAAAAAAATAACAAGAAAAAAAGAAGAAAGTGAAATCTAATTAAAAAAAAAAAAAAAAAAAAAAAAAAAAAAAAAAAAAAACAGGAAAAAAGTGATTACGTGAGAAATGATCAAAGAAGAGAAACAATTACAAAAACAATAAAATACATACTTTAAAAAAACAAACTAAATACAAATCAATGTATCTATGAACCGAAAGCATTCAATAATAATAATAATAATAATAATAATAATAATAATAATAATAATAATAAAAGAATTCACGACAAAAATGTCGAAAATCGTTTGAACTGTGAAACGAACTAGAGAGAGGGGCGATTAATACCAAAATTAGAAAAAAAAAAAGAGGAATTGAAACAAATTTAGTGCGAAACAAAACCAAACGAAACAAAACCAAAAAAAAAGGTAGAACAAAAAAAGAAGAAGAAGAACACCAACAACAAGAAAAAGAAAAGAAAAAAGAAAGAAGGAATTTTGATAGCAAATAATAAAAAATAACAAAAAAAAGGGACTGAACATTTTGTGTGCGAAATAAAACAAAACAAAACCAAAATAAAAGAAGAAGAAAATAAAATAATAAACAGAAGAAACAAAACAGAAGAAAAACGAATTTCGATAGAAAATTAAATTAAATAAAAAAAAAATAAAAAAAAAAGAAATTCAAATTTATAGAAAAGAAACTCCCCTCCCCTCCCCACCCCTCCCCTCCCCCCATAAAAAATTACGTATTCCTCAGGGAAAGTGCGAATGGGGAGCGAGGAGGGTAAAGGGGTGGCTTATACGGATGCCGCCACCTCATGGCAACCGTATTATACCTGTTGTTCACCTTATTCTCACTCGCATCCCCATAATCAGCAACATCAACATTTAAATCATCCTTATCAATATCAACCCCATCAACAACAACAACAACAACAGCAACAACAACAGCAACAAGCTCCAAATGGTGGTGTTAATGGTAGTGGTAGTGGTAGTGGTAGTGGTAGTGGTAGTGGTAGTGGGCAATATAAGCAACACCCACCATCTGGTTCTACTATGAACGCTGTTTCCACCCTTTATCCAACCTCCCAGCATCATCAAATGCAATTGCAACCCGCCCAGCAACCACCACCACCATTGCACCAACAACAACAGTTCCAACCCCTACCAGGACAATGTACAACAAGGAAGGTCCTGTCTTACGATGGTCCAGGTATCTAATATATAGGATTATTTTGATTGATTTGATATTGTTTATTTATAATTAAATGTTTATAGATATATGTGTAATATTTTTGGATGGTAATAATTATGAGAATAATAATATAACGTTATTTCTATTATTATTGATCGTTTTGAATTATTGTTAATTGTTTATTCGTTTGATTTTATCAACGAATCGGTTCGAAAATGAATATATTAATGATTTTTAAAGGTTATACTGATTATATTGATTATATTGATTATACAGTATTATACGTGTGTTTATTTTAAAATGAAAATAAATAAAATATATTTACATTGATTCGTAAATGAATTTTTTAGAAGAACGAATCAATTGTGAAATAAGAGTTGCAATATTTGATATTAAATATTTAATTAACGGTTGATATTTATTTATCATTGATTAGATTATTGTGTTACTACAGAGAAGCTGTGTTTGATTTAATGAAAAAATATAAATTAAAACAATAAATAAAAACCATTTTATTTAATGGTACTTTTAAATGTTAAGAAAAAAAAAGACACAAACAGAAGGAAATAAAAATTGTAGAAGATAAGAAAAAGGAAGAAGAAGAAGAAGAAGAAGAAGAAGAAGAAGAAGAAGAAGAAGAAGAAGAAGAAGAAGAAGAAGAAGAAGAAGAAGAAGAAGAAGAAAAGTGTTTGAATTTAATAAATAAAAAAAAAAAAATAGATTGAAACAAAGGCCGACATTACTTTATGTGATACCAGTAATATTTAGAAGAAAAAAAAACACAGAAAAAAGAAATAAAAATTGTGGGAGATAGAAAGAAGGAAAGAAGAAAAAGAAAATTGTTTAAATTTAAGGAACAAAAAAATTAAATTGAAAAAAAGAATAAAATCATTACTTTATGTGATACTCTTAATATTAAGAACAAAAAATAAAAATTGTAGAAGATAGAAAAAAGGAAAAAATAAAAAAAAGTATCTGAATTTAATTAATAAAAAAAAAAAAAAATTAAAAGAAACGATAGTACCTTATGTGACATAACACTAATGATTTTGAAAAAAAAAAATACACATAAAGAAAAAAAAAGAAACATTCTGGAAGATAGAAAAAAAGAAGGAGAATAAAAAAAAATTTTTTAATTTATTTTTAAAAAACAAATAGATTTGAAAAAAAATATTAAAATGACATTACCTTATGGTACCACTAATATTAGGAAAAATAAATAAATAAATAAAAATTGTGAAAGATATTAAAACGGAGGGAAGAAAAAAAAAGAATTAAAGAAAGTGTTTGAATTTAAAAACAAAAGAGATAAATTGAAAAAAGAAACATAAATGACATTACTTTATGTGATACCCATAATATTTAAATAAAATCTATATTTCTATAAAAAAAAAACATACACACACAGTAAAAAAAAAAAAATAAAAATTATTTTATAGAAAAGAGAAAAACGAAAGGAGGATGAAAAAATGTTTGACTTTAATGAAAAAAAAAAAATAAATGAAAAAACAAAAAACAAAATTAAAAAAAAAATGACATAACCTTATTGTACCACTAATATCTAGAAAAAAAAAGAAATAAAAATTGTGAAAGATAGGAAAGGAAAAATAAGAAGAAGAAGAAGAAGAAGAAGAAGAAGAAGAAGAAGAAGAAGAAGAAGAAGAAGAAGAAGGAGAAGAAGAAGAAAAAGTGTTTGAATTTAATAAACCAAAAAAAAACAAAAACAAAGAGACATAAATTTATGTCACATACCCCTTATATTTAGAAAAAAAAAGTACACACACAAGAAAAAAATGAATAAAAATTATAGAAGATAGGAAAGAAGAAAGAAGATAGAAGAAAGAAGAAAAAAAAGGGGGCTGAGAAAAAAAGTAAAAAAAAAAACCACTGTACTTTTCGAAGTAGCCTCTTGTAGAATCCATTTAATCAAGTAGCCGTTTAAAAGGGTACCGATTAGGCTCTATTACTCTTTCCGTGTATCGTCCAACGCGGAAACTTAGGCTTCTTTTATATGAGAGTTACCGACGATCTATACCTACTCTACCTTTCTATCCTACTAGTATCTCTCTACCAATCGTTATTCTTTGCTTTTTCTTCTACTTCTTCTTCTTCTTCTTCTTCTGGGCCCTGAAGGATTTCCATGGGAAATTGCATAAGCACGAAACGTTCCGTTTAGATAGTCACGCAACGTCAATCAACAAATGGCTAGATCCTTTTATAAAAAGGATTAATAACGTCATCTTCCCAAATTCTAATACCCCACACTAACTGTCTCACCCTTTCTATAGGGTTTTTTCTTTTTTTCGTTTTGTTTTTTTTTTTTTTATATATATCGTCCTATATACCCTAGAGAGAAAGAGTTGATTTTTTTTTTCTAGTTGTATCAATATTTTTCTTGGAATCAAAAAGTAGATTCCTTTTTTTTTTTGTTTGAAATAATAAGATCAACGAAATTCTAGGGATTATATTATATTTTTAGAATAGATATGATTGGTTTGATTTTTGTTTTTTTTTTTTGACTGTATATTTAGAATTTTATTCAGAAATAAAATTTTTAATTCATTTAATAAGAATACAGATTTTTTTTGTTTGAAATAATAAGATCAACGAAATTCTAGGGATTATATTATATTTTTAGGATAGATATGATTGGTTTGATTTTTTTTTTTGACTGTATATTTAGAATTTTATTCAGAAATAAAATTTTTAATTCATTTAATAAGAATACAGATTTTTTTTGTTTGAAATAATAAGATCAACGAAATTCTAGGGATTATATTATATTTTTAGAATAGATATGATTGGTTTGATTTTTGTTTTTTTGACTGTATATTTAGAATTTTATTCAGAAATAAAATTTTTAATTCACTTAATAAGAATATTTGGATATATTTCTATTCAGATTTAGAATATGTTGAATGATTGTTTGAAATTTTTTATTTTTTTCCAAATAAAATTGTTCTTATTTCGGTTGATAAAATTATTTAGAAATTTGTTTAAGTTCTAATAGGATTATTAGGAATATATTTTTAATCAGATTTAGAATATATTTCATATAGAATAATAGAAAGTTTATTTTGAAATTAGCCTAAAGCCATTTGTCAATTATTATTTTCCGGTTGCACCTGGTTATTGTACAACTTCATGTTATGTATCAATAAAGTATTTGAGATTGCTTATATTCCGAGTAAATATGATAATACCTTATTGTAAATAAAATGAGACAAGAAGATTTTGTATGAACTAAATTATTAGAAGACGCAATTTTGAAAAAGGCTCAAGAATTCTGATGAAGAATCAATAAACTGCTTAAAAATATGTTGAATGCGTTTTGTTAGAAATGAACCGTATCAAATTTTCAATAAGACATCAATGAATGAGAATGAAAAATTTGAAAGTCATGAATTTATTAGCACGTCGGGGGTAGACCAAGAAAATTCGAAAATATTGTATTGACATCACTGTATAAAAATATCAGACAAATTACAACAGCAAAATTCAAGGACATAATTGACCTATTACGATATATACCACCGGAACATCATGATTTCTTCAAATCCCTTTCACACGCACAAAATGCAGATGAGTAGTAAATTGTTTTGTAGGTTATGTTTGTAATTTTGTACGTTGTGTAGTTAAAAAAATGTTTTCAATCGCATAAATTATGTTTCTGAAGTGTTTTAAAGATATGTCAAATAAATTGAGTATTGTTTTGTTTTCAATTTGAAGCATCTTAAATTATGTTGAATGGAGTTAAGTCCTTTGGAAATTTGATAACAAATCAAATTGTTGATATTGACAGTGACCTAATTCCATTCATGGTTAGAAAACGCATTATTATTCACTTGATAATTGCTACTATTTTAATAGGAAATATAAATTGAACACTTTCAGATACACTTAAGCTGTATAACTAGTTAGTATCTAGTACGTATATTTTTTATTCATATTATAAACCTGTTACAAGTGATTGGATTTAATAGGATACTAGTAAACAATGATATTTAACATAGTTCTATAATTTCTATCACCATTTTAGAAATACAAAGTTAAATATAATTAACAATTAATTAACGATACATTTAAACATGCATGTAATATTACTTTTTTTTTTTTTATTATATCTTGGAAACAATTAAAAGCACATAATATCTATAAATATCTAAGATAT